GCCGCCGCTGCTGCTGCTGCTGCCGCTGCTTAGAATCCAAAGCTGGTGCTACGTGGTTCTACATCGCCACTGTGTGCCTGTGTCTGTGTGTGCGAGGGAGGGAGGGAGGGAGAGGGAGAGGGAGAGAGAGAGAAAGAGGGAGAGTGAGAGTGAGAGAAACACGCAAGCCGCTGCCAGGAAGCTGCTACGTGGTCGAGGCGAGCTGACAAGCCAGGCAGAGGTGGAGGAAGGAGGGAGGGAAACGCGCACACGCACGCAGAAACGGGCGCGCGCACATTTTCCTACATAACATATAGAGCTATTTATATTTACCTCCATGGATTTATGCATTACAGGAAACACTCAAATATAAACACAATCACGAGGTCTGTCAGTGATGGTGGATAGGAGGTTCGTGCTCTTGCCTTACAGCAGTGGTTCTCAAACTTTTTTCAGCACGACCCCCCGCCCCCTTCACTCCCACCCAAAATTCACTTCAACTATTATGTCATTGAAATGCACTGTAGTCCTTTAACTGGACAGGGATATGTTTACAAACCAGTGCAGTTTCCCTGATATGGATCAATTAAAGGAAAATGTTCAAATTCAAATTTAACTGGGTCACGCCCCCTACTTTGGGAACCCATGCCCTACAGCATGCATGTTACTGGTTTCGAACCCTGGTGGTTCACAACATGATAAGATAAGAATTTTCTATTGTTGAAGGAAGTTGATGTTGTATGTAATTGTTCAAATCTCTGATTCTGAACTCTGGTTTTCTCCACTGTTACTGTTTGAAACTTCTTTCCATTTTTCCTCAGAGAAGTGCACGTCTGTGCAGCTCACTGAGTCACAGGCCTTTGTTGTTCAGGACCAGGCTACACATGAACACATGGTGCACCAGACACAGGGTTACAACCAGGTTTCCTTCAACACTTCCTTTAGACTTCTGTGAGTACTGCAGTCTCAGTGACATTATTTTTAAATACTGCCAGAACATCTTTAAATGAAGAAAGTAAATAGTGATAAAATAGATAAAAACTGTGTCTCACTGTGGCCCAGTACCAAATTATTTACGGCCCAGTGCCGGTCCGCGGACCAGGGGTTGGAGATCCCTGCTGTAGAATATCTATATTTCAGTGTATTGATATTTTTTTACAACCCTTGAATGTGTGTTCAGACCAAATATCTTTGTTTTAGTTTGTTTGTAAACAACTTTATGTCTTGTTTGCAGTGATTTGCTATTTGCCCACAGTGACATCATCTGTCCGACCCTCCAAACTGCAGGCTCTGTAATCCTCAGTGAACATTTATTTACCCTCTGTTTTCTTCGACACTCACGGTGTTTTACTACACTCGGCCAAGAAAATATATATCACGGGATGAGCAAACAGATTCTCCTCCCTGCCTTCCTCACCCCTTCCTCACCCCCCACTGCCCCCCTCCTCTCCTCGGCCTGAGTGAGAACAACATATTACAGTGCTTTATCTTCCAGGCCAACATCACATGCCGAATCAACTGGTGGGGTGGGGTCAGAGTGTGCACTCGGTGGATGACAACATTATTGGATTCTTAAGTTTGCGCTCCACTCGTTTGTCACTGTAATTTAGTGCCACCAGGTGGCAGCGTTAGAGAAATTAACTAATGCAGGAAGGCAGCGGAGCAAGTGGAGACAAATGTTCCTGGAGATGTTACACTCCACAGAGCAGTCCTCAGACCAGATGGTCCTCACCACCACCACCCAACCAGATCTCAACTCAACTTCTCCTCAACGTCTCAGTGTCAGCCTTTAATTCATGTTTCAGTCACAAAGTTCTCAGACATGTCATGTGGATAGTCTGAAATAAATACCTGCAAACAAGAAGAGGAAGACAACGAGATCACCAGGAACAGGTCCACGATCAGGTCCACGATCAGGTCCTGTTGTTCAACGCAGCGTTTGGTTTTGGAGTTGGAGCTGAATATTTTTACTCACTGAAGTCGTCTGTACGTCGTCTATGAGAGAAATGACATATGAAGAGACACTACAGGCCTTGTTGAGGGTCCAGAATTGTTTCAGTTAAAGTACACATTGATGTTTGACTGAGGCTGTTAAGATTAAAGTCGAGAACTGTCTTTGATTGAACTCTGAAGGTACTGTGTGAGGGGACAGAGGGGGGAGGGGGGGCAGAGGGGGGTTGTGTGTGTGTGAGTACTTTGGTCTGGTCTGAGGCACCGTGCCAAAACAACTCTGCATCACTGTGAACAAGTACAACAGCACAGCCTTGAAGATGAGATGAGAGGAGGAGAGAAGGGAGGGAGGATGGGAGGAGAAAGGAAAGGAGAGGGGGGAGGAGAGAAGGGAGGGGGAAAGGAGAGGAGTGGAGGGAACAGATAAGTAGGTAAGAGGAGAGGAGAGGAGAGGAGAAGAAGTGGGTGAGAGGAGTGAGGATGTACGTGAAGTGAAGAAAGGAGAGGAAGGGAGGGAAGGAGGGAAGGAGGGAGGAGAGGAGAGAACTCTATAAACCACCTTCATGACTTTGATCAGTTCCAGTTATTTCAACTAATACATGGAAATAACAGACATTAAAAAAATGTGTGTGTGTGTCTCTGTGTGTGTGTGACCGATATCTAGGTCAGACACTCGTAGACAAAGACTGACTCTGGAGAAATGAGGATACAGAAACAGTACCAGAATTTGTCGTTGGTTGACTTGGTGAAGGACTACGACACAAATACTGAGCACAAATACTTCAAATACTACTCACCAGTACCTCCGTCTGCCCAGTGTTTTTAAACGAGCACAGATGATACTTGATGGGAATTTCATGTTTTGACCCAGTGCCGTCTCTGTAAACAGTGACACAGAGCCCTGCAGTAAAGAAAAGAACGGAACAACAGAGTCAGGTAGAAGTCAGTCCTGAGTTCCTTCTACTTCCTGTGTATCGTTGACTACCTGAGAAGTACATGTCATGAATTTCCAACATGTGCCCATGGCTTTCCACCAACATCCTGCTCTCTCCCAGGTCTGCGGATAAGCAGAGAGAGTTGTCTGAAGACGGCGCCACAGCTCCCCCATGTGGTAAAACAACATATTGCACAACCGACGCTAAACAAGCGAAATTGATCAAATACGATTCTCGCAAAAATATTTTCAAACATCGAGTTTCAACCTCCAACTGTAATTTGAAAATTCCTGGCATTTTTCAAGTTTCTACTACGAGTTAAATACCTTTTTAAAACCATCTGGTGAGAACTTCCTTAAATAGAATCAGCCGTTATTCTTCGGCTAACTACTTAGCTTGATTTGTGTTTGATGTGTTCTCCGTGAAAAAAAATAATTTAAACAATAATTCAAAAAGATTTTTTTTACCTGGGTGTGCTTGTACCACGACGAACATTAACGGACCGTAGCACCCTAAAATGAGAAGAAAAAAATTAATCATATTCAAATATTTCTATGTTCGTTTTCTGCTAATATTTAAGCTAGTTATAGCTAAAGGCTGTTAATATAAATGCAGTTAATATAATTATATAGTAATTACAAAATGTTTGTCTGAACTTTTACTACTCCTGGACCATGTTCACTACTTTGGACTGTTTTTCCTGACAATTCTAGAGTTTTTTTTATATTATTTCACCTCCAAGTTGTGCTAATTTCAAACCCCGTTGTATTCACCATACAATTCATCCTGAGAACGTTTCAAGCGACGGTAAAGGAAACGTGTATTTTTCCAGGTATGCCAACACTCCACTGGTGGTGACGTCACTCCAAAGTCTCTGCCATCTTACTGAATAACAAGACGTTGAGACTTTGAACTGCTATTTAGGACACATCGATATGTTTATTATCAAGAGCTCTAGCAATTAACTGATATTAAACAGCAAACAGGAAAATATCAGGATAAGTGCACGTCTGAAACAACTGTACAAATCTTTTCTTAGACAAATAATGACATCATTATTTACACTGTACCACCAGACCTTCTATATCCATCTCTCTTTTTTTCTTTTTTTTTTTTCTTTAACAATACAAAGCAACTCTTTTTTTTTCTTTTTCTTTTTTAAACAATACAAAGCAACTTCACCCTGTTGAAGCTCCACAGAGATGACTTTTGCCTAAGCTGTTTGTTGATGACCACAGGGTTGGAAATGCAGCCTGGTCACCGTGTGAAAGCAGAAATCCTGACAGATTAGTGATAGAGAAGCCGACGGCGATAATACTCAACGTAAACAACAGTCTGCCTCCTGATCCTTTACTCTGGTTCCAACATTTTTCACCAACTCTGAACTGGTACTAGTCAGAAGATGTAAACTCATCAGTGGATGCTCCACAGCTGCAGACAGTCTTAGGCCGAAGAGAACAAAAAACAAGATCATAAACTAATGTTTCAGACTGCTGACACTCAATGTTCAAAATTCATCATATTAACAGAAAAAAAAAAACAAAACCCAACACGCATGCATCTCAACATATAGAGATTTGAGTGATATCTGGGTAAAGATCTGGCACAACCTCGGAAATATTAAAGTTCCGTACATTATTAGAGTTTGTCGTCAAATGTATGGATTTACAGTCGGTCGTAAGAAGAAAAAAAAACATGGTTTAAAAAGTGAAGTCTACGTGGACGTCTATTTTGTTAGCATACAAACAATAATCAGTGTAGCCAGTCATATATATATAGGTGTATACATATATATACATATATGTATATATACATACATATATCTATGACTATATATATATGCGTGTGTTTTACGTATATATATATATACACATACACATACATATGTATATACAAACACATTAACAGCCAATCCACTGAAATGAACTGTAAAAGTAAGTCAAAAATGACAGGCGTGCGTCGTCAGCTGTACAAGGAGTTCAAACGTGGTGTAAGAGACACGATTCCTGGTTAACTATCAACACTGTCTGTGAGGAAGTTCAGAAATGCTCAGCTTTGCCAGTGGAGTTAAAAACAGTCGCCTTAGCTCATCTGGTCACTGCCTCCTCCTCCTCCCTGATAACACGTCTAGGTTGTGATACTAGCCACGGTAACAAGGCACATGTCACACAGAACGTAGTGAGGTTTCTCTGCACATTTTTTTTACAGCTCCCTAACAGCAACATTTCTGTTTGTAACATGTGGTTCAGATCCGTCCAACAACGGTTCAGTTCATCAATGCACTGGATTCAGAGTTGATTCCACAAAATGTGTGCGGTAAAAAAGTAAGCTGGTGATCTGGATACGGTTAGAGAAAATTCAACCCACATGTTGAGTCACCTTCAGGGCACATGCATGTAAATGGTGCCAAAGTCACTCACGAGGGCGAGGAATGTAGTGATGTAAAATCTCCCAGTGCTGTTAAAGACATATGACAATGTAGAGGAGGCGTTTTTAGGCCCAGGACCCAGAGTTTAACCAGCTGGTCTCCTTCTTTCTACCAGAAATGCACAGAGAAACCTTAAAAAAAAAAAACTTTTTTTGCTTTGGATTTTAACAATGCTTTTTAACAGAAAAAATACAATAATACAAACAAATGGAAATTTAATGCCATTTTCACTCGACAAATTTTTTTTAATCTTGGCTTTGCCCTAAATTCTTTTTAACTTTATAGGTTTGAAAGAACTGATAAAAAAACAAAAACAAGTTAAAGTAACATCTCTGCTTTTTGCCCTTTTTACCCCTCCTATATATGTGTATATATGTTTAACGCATATATGAATATATATGTATGCATATACATTATATTTATATACACACCTACACAGGTGTACACATACATACATGTGTAAGCATATATATACACACATATATGCATATATATACACATATACAAGCATATACGCACGTATATAGATATACATATATAAACAAATACATATATATGTATAGCTATACACACAGAGTAAAAACCTATTCAAGCTATACAAAAAAAAAAAACAACAACAAAAAAACACTGTACAACGTATCAAGTATATCATTATTTTTTTCAAGACATTAAATTGTTCAGTTTGGGACTGAACGACGACCAGAATCAGTCAACGTCATCATTGACCATTTGTTCCACCCACAGACGTTCTAAAAATGATGTTGAGTCAAAACATTAATCATCCAAGAAAAAAACAAACAAACAAAAAAAAAAGCAGGAGAAAAGCCTGTTTTTCTGTGTTGAAGTGTTGTTGAATATACAATCTGAAAGGCTTGGTTCTATTCACTGCAGGTTTTAATGAATGGGAAAAATTTCACAGAAACGGAGGAGCAGAAATTGAAGGCACAAAGATTGTTTTTTCTTTTGTTTTTTTAAAAAAAGCCCAACAGGCCACAGTGATAGATATGAAAGTTGGATTTACACATTATTACCATGCCGACTAAACCTGACTAAATACTTGGGCTTAGGTAGTCTGAGTTGACATTCATAATCTCTAAATTTAAATTTAGTAAATAAAGTAATGCACAATCTATCAGTATTCACAGAGGAAAACCGCAATTACTGTTTGATTATAGATTACTAGCACACAGAGTACAACAGAGTACCGTCTGATTGGCTGAAGTTGAATCAGACACTTGGACTTACTTCATCTCACCACTTAAAAAGAATGATAGAAATCCATGGAAGGAACAGAATGGGTTTCGATACTGAAAAAAAAAAAAAACGAACAGAATGAAAGTCCAGAAGAAGCTCGAAAACCAGGGAAAGAAAAACGTTTAGCAAGTTTTTATTATATCAAAGCATTACAATAAGGTGTTTCCTCTGCACTCGTACTTCAAACACTAACAGCAAAACATGTTAAATACAAAGGTTTTTTCTTTTTTTTTCTTATAAATTAAAGGAAAGATGGTGTGTTAGGATGAGCTGGACATGAACTGTGTGGCTGCGTTGACTGTCCTAGATGATTTTTTTTTAATTTTCACTCCGACTTTAAATGAGTTTCTTCACCTCTACCTCAGCGCCTTCTGAAAATAATGTTGATGGAGAAAATGCGCCTTTTTTTCTTTTTTTTCTTTTTACTTAAAAAGGTGTGGAATGCTTCAGTCATGAACTACAGTATAAACCTGTCGACTTCGACTGTTTTTTTTTTTCTGACCATTCAGCATTGCATTTTTTTTTTGTCGTTTTTAAACGGATGTCACCTCCCACTCTCACCTCTAACTAAGTAATAATCCAGTAATGTCACTGACTGAAAACGATGAACACGTTGAATCCATTCATTCTGTATTAAATCACGACTCCGGTCGAGACATTTGACCGTCGATCTGCTGCAAAGTGCCTCACGTTAACGTCTCTCGACTCTGGACCGTCTTTAAATTCATGCCCGTCCAGTTATGACATCTTCGCAAGTCAGTCAGTTAAATTATTTTACTACATTTTAAGCAACAATAATAAAAAAACAAAACAAAAACAACAACTGATGAGACGACGAGTCAATTAATAAGTGCTGAACTATGTCTGCTTCCCATTGGTAAAGTTAACTATCGACTAACTCTTCCCTATAAGGTCGTGGCTTCTTCTACATTACGAGTCTGAGTGGAATCATACCTGAAACAGGAAAAAAAAAGAAGAAAGAAAGAAAAGCTAAAGATCAGTGAAGCTAACTTACAAAGGCGACGCTCCAAACTGTCCAACTTTATATCAGCAAAATAAACTTCCTTTCTTTATAAAGTTGTTTTCTTGAACTCCTCACATTTACATAGAAGAAGAAAAAATCCAGGACGTTAAAAAACAAAAACAAAAAACATTTAATCCTCCTCAAACTAAAAGTTGTTTTTTTTTTTTTTGTCCTCCTCCATCCCCTTATTTTTGTTGTTGTTGTTTTGACTGTTTTTAATCTCATTGGAGCAACTTCAAACAGGAAACAAAAAAGAGATAGAAAAACAAAAAACAATTAGCTATTTAAAAGGGGGAGAGGGGGGAGATAATGCCTCAGTAAGAGATACTTACTCTTGTTCTTTTTTCAAAAAAAAAAAAAAAAAAAAAAAAGAAAGTATATTGACAGTATAGAGAGCTTGGAGCAGTTTTCTTAAAGAGCAGACCAGGATATACCATGTGACCTGTGGTTGATGACATCACGACAGTCACCCTCCATGCTAATGACATGAGTGTCTGGGTGTTTTTGCCAAGAAAGAATGAAAGGAAAAAAAAAATATCGAAGATAAACAAACTGAGACTCTACAATGCTGTATGAGTGTGAGTGTGTGTGTGTGTGAGAGAGAGTGTGTGTGTGTTTAAATGAAAAGGTCCTTCAGTGTTGTATCTACGATACTCCGTTCACCAGAGGCGTAGCATCCTGTTTGTCCTTCTTCATCGCTCGTTCTCTAATGGATCTCTGGTGATGATGACGGGAAGGGCCGTCGCTGGAACTCAGGCCGCCCTGAGTGGAGGAAAGCCCTGGTCCTCCTCCTCCTCCTCCTCCTCGACCCCCTGAAGAGTGCTGCACACTCCTCTCATTGTTCCCGTCTACACGGATCTGTCGGGAAAAAGAAGAGAAGATAAAGTCAAACATTACAGGAGCCAAACGTTTACATTTCATACATTCTTTATTGTTTACCAAACGTTTACATTTCATACATTCTTTAGTGTTTACAAAAATGTAAAAAAAACCTCAGTAAAAGTTTAAAAAAAACTTGGTTTACACATGTTAACATTCGTTAAAACAATTAAATGTCAGAACCAATGAATCTACATGTCATATTTTTCTGGTGTTATATAATATTAAAATATTAAAGCTGGTCAGTTACTGTTTGTCAGCTCCATATTTTCAAAAACATTTTCATCTTTTAATGAATTCTTTGTGGTTTAGTCATTTTATTCAGTATTTTTAGTGTTGAGTTACAGTTGTAGACGGTGCCCTCTTGTGGCCAAAGGCGATATAGCGCACATGTTTTAACCATCCGTTGCTTATATCAATATCAATCACAGCACCAGCCAAACCATTTTTAAATGATGTGACTTACAGTCTGGACTTTTTGGTTTATGTTACTGCACTTTTGTTCCTACATCAGTACTTAAAAAAAAGTAACCGTGCAAAATGTGCTCATTTTATATTCATTACTGTACACACACAGTCTGTGACTCAGACCAACACCAGCTCCACTCCTTAACTGTCAGTGTGTCACGAGATCTGTCTCTGGGCCAAAGTCCTGAATCAGGTCTAAAAGATCATTTACTGGTAAATGGAAACTGAACGTCTGAGCAGCCACGTGGGCGTCACTCACATCTGACTTCACTGTCACAGCTCACTCACCCTCACCCTCACCCTCACTTTCCTTACGGCGGAAAGAGGTATAAAATTTATTTTTTCTGGTTTTGAAGATTTCTGAGGGAAATGTGTCCGAAAGCTGAAAGACCTTAAGAGGAAGTTGTTTAGTGACAGAAAATACGACGACCCTCACCCTCACCACATAATAATAATAATAATAATAATAATAAGCAGGTATTACCTGTAAGCTGTCTTCGTGTGCTCTTGTCTTGGGGTCTCTGATGTGACGGGGTCTTGGCTCACCCCACTGCATGTCTTCACCTGAAATCCCCCAACCGCCCCGAAAATAAAAAGATTATTCATCTTAATCCTGTTTTTATTATCAAATTCAGCATGAAATAAAAATCACAAAAAACTGATCACATGTTTCATTCTGTGTCAATAAAAATGTCAGCAGGGTTCAAACCTACGAGCATCGTAATGAAGTTCAAGCCAACCTTTATGTCCTCCCCGTCCTCTCCCTCCACGTCCCCGCAGCCCTCCACCCCCTGCTCTCCTCCTCCCGTCCGTCCGCCTGGGCAGGGTTCCGCTTCCTGTCATGAGCTCTTCAGTGGGGGCCAGGGACCAATCGCTGAGCTCCTCCTTGTGGTCGGACTCCGTCTCTGAAGCATTGGACGCCTCCGAGTTGGTGCCTGGAGGAGATAATAAAACGCCTCCGAGTTGGTGCCTGGAGGAGAGAGAGACCTTAAATAACACCTTATAAAAGCAAACGACGACACTGAAGCACTTTTTGGGGTCTTTAGATTTGATTGTGTGCAGTGAGCTGAACATTTAGGATGAATGTCATTCTATTCCATTTGTTTCATTCAAATCGTACCTGAGGCGAACGCTGCTCCGCCTCCTCTCCGCCCTCGTCCTCCTCTTCCTCCACCTCCAGTGTAGGGCTTCCCTCCTCCTCCTGATCCTCTCCCCATCCCCAGTCCCATGCCGTTGTCAAACACGTAGGTTTTGTCCTTGGCGTTACGCGGCCCTGTTCCTCCTCCTCCTCCTCCTCCGCCGCCTCCGCCTCCTCCTATCTGTCTGAGCTGCTCGTCAATCTGGAGGCGCTCCAGTCGGAGCTGATCCACTTCCTGTTGACACGGACAATTAAAATAAACATGATGTCATGCTGTATTTGGAAACATAGACAATTTTATGCAATTAAAATGTTTAATAATTAAACATAAATTCTCCAATAATGAACCGAACATTCTTAAGATTTTCTTTTTCTGCCCATTGACCTCATTTGACCCTGACCCCAGGAGTTGATTTTGACTATTGATCAGATGCAGTGGTTGCCAAAATAAGGGTTGTGGCCCCTTAAGGAGGCCACAGGAATGAATTACAGTTGATTG